TCCAAGTCTCTGATTTACTGGATAACATGTAAATTGTATCTGTTGCAGCCAAGCATAATATTAATTTCTATTAATTTCAGTCTCGTAGGGGATGTAACTGTCCAATCAGAAAATTAATTATGTTATCTCCCGGAACCTCTCTGTTGGGGTACGAGTCGATTTAGGTTCCGGCACAAGGCATTCGGGAGATTATCTGGGCATGGTTAGAAGAGGAGATAAGTTGGACACGGTGATTTGGAGTAAATGGTTCATCATGAAATGAGTTCTACACATTCACCAAGTTCAGTTATGGAGTTAGAGAATTCAAGGTAAACATTTGTCATCGGTTCAGTTCCACCCGCAGTTTCTCAGTTTAATTTAGTGGTTAGCATCCAGTCCAGTAACTTCGTTTCGGAACAGAGATTGAGGACAGAATAGGAATATTGCAAGTGATAAGACAGGATAATAAAAAACATCGATATACATTATCGATGCTTTAGATTATTATTATTAATGTATTATTGATCCCTGTTACTTCAGAGAAATACGTCCAAGTTCTGGTAAATAAATAAGTGAATCAGAAAATTATGACACGTGCAGAAGAGACTTTTGATTCAAAGGGCAAATATTTGCCCCTCCCTTTCATCTCAAAACCTAATCTTTCAGCCTTCTGTTCTGTTACAGCGTTCCTACTCACCCATTAAATATACCCAGAGAAAGATCTCAATCATCGAACTAGCACGGAAGAACAAAATAAAAACCCTGAAGAAGGAATGAGCCGATGTAGAATAAAAATATTCCAAAATGTTTTGGTAGATCTGAGTGTAATTAGAAGCAGGCTGACCAATTAATTTGACACCCCTGTGTGATTAATGACAGAATAAATTTGGAACTCCTGACATGATCAAACTATGCTGCTTACCGTGCGGTACGTGTTGGCTGGAACGATAAGAAACGTCTCGATGTTGTGATCGCGCAAGTATGAATTACGCTCCCCGCCATGGCCTGGCTCCACCTCATAGTCGCCATCCAGGTAACGCAGTGTCTCTTTTGTAATGTGAACTCGCCTAGCCAGCAAAGAAGACATGGGGACTGTTAGAGAAGCTGGTAACCATTCAATTAGTAAACAAACTGCCCTCACCCCCTTTTATGGAGCCGTGTTCACAACAACCTGAAAATGCACACTATTCTGAGCCAGATAAATCCAGTTCAGACCTTCAAATATTATTTCTTTTTGGTCCGTTTTAATAATATCCTCCCAGCAGCAAACAAGTTCCCCATGTTGCCTCTCCCCTTGACGTTTTCTGACTATAATTGTGAATGCATTTTTCATCTCTCACATGCTCATTTTATGTCTCACCATCCACGTTATTTTAAATTATTCATTAGCTATTTTCTTGAAATATTCAGATTTATTACTAGTATCTGGAATGAGAACTAAAATCAGCTTTGTTCATTATAATAGAATCTCTTTTTAACAATATCAACTACTACAGGGATTGGGCCTATTGACCGGTTCTGGGACAGTTGTTCAAGGCAACTTGACCTTATTAGTTAGTATTGTAGGGTGTATTTGAGTAGCGAGTGACAATCCCATTGCCTCTGCACAACTTCTACTCACTCCCGGTTTGACTGCCAGAGCCATCTAGCAGTGAAGCAGTGAATCAAGAGAGACTTGGGTGAGAAATGGCCGCTGAATTTTGCTTACGAAACATCTCGTATCATGCTCGTAAGGTTCTTTTACATGCCGTAAATCTACGACATGGGACAGCCAGCGTGTAACTGCATGACATCGTGCACCAACAAAATTTCTTTTCTTCTTCAGATGGTGTCACCCAGCACAAACGTTCAAGTTATAAAAGGCTGTGTAACTGCATGACATCGTGCAACAACAACAGCACAAACGTTCAAGTTATAAAAGGCCTTTGAGGGGATTTTGAATGGCTTTAATAAACTAAGGTAACACAACCTCCAAAACTCACCCTGGTATGCCGCCACTCTCCATGTAATTTGCAAGCGTGACGTCATTGCTCCAGACATCGAATTGCCATTTGCGGAGGCCCAACACTCCACAATGCACACGGCCAGTGTGAATACCAACCCGCATGTTCACGTTCACACCCATAACATTGCGCACTAGCCTACGGAGAAGAATAATGTCAATAGGAACAGTGTTACACCTCGCGCTTAATGTAACTGCTCTACAAAATGAATACCCTGTAAATGCAGTAAGTATACTTGCGCTATAGCGTCGATCATGTCGAGTCCCATCTCGACGCAGCACTGTGCATGATCGGGTCTGGGCTCTGGTAGTCCCGAGACACAGTAGTAGCAGTCGCCTAGCAACTTTATGCGAAGGCAGTGGTGCTCTGCGGCCAGGCGATCGAATCTGCGCGGGAACATATGATTCGAATGAAGAAGACTTTTCAAATAAAGTAGCAACAGCATACACAAATGTTGACGTGTTACGAATGTATTGGGGAGATACGCCAGCCAGCAATGAAACACCTGTCGGTTACACTTACTCTACGGTTACACGTAGTTGATGGTGAACTTACGCAGGGTTATGTCTGTTTATTTCCTCTGACCTTGAGTGACCAACAAAAGAACCTCCACTTTTCAGACATCACAGAACACATTTTATAACCTTACAAAAATGTACTATAATAGGTTAGAACAATGAGTTTGAAGCACAGAACTTAGCAGAACTACGCAACCAAAGAAACGTATAGGAAAATTTAAATTAAAAATCCAACAGAAAGGAAAGAAAGCAAGATTAATTTTACTCAAAACTCGAACTGCTACAGAGGCTACACCCTTCCGTCCTGCCAACTGGACGCTTCAAACAGGATTTTGTGAAATACGAACATCATCAAAACTTCATCAAACACAATTTCGTCATGGATAGTGACAACACCCTATTACGCAAAAGGACACACAGCCTTGTCTGAACGTAACTGACCCCAAAATCACTCCGCATAAAGGAACGTCAAATGGAAAGCAGCAGGAGAGAGGACGAGATTAAAGGGGTGAGGTAAAGTGCTGGAAAGACGAGATTAAGCAAATGGCGTACAAACTATGAAAGGCGAGCCACATTATCAGCTCTAAACTGTGCCTTAAATACAAACACGGATGAGGTGGTCCGATACCTGGCAAAGAGCTC